AGTCTTGGAAATACTGAAATTATTGCTAAAATAAACTGCTTCCGGTTTGACCAGGACTTAACAATGTCTTGTTCTTCATAATTAATGAAAACTTTTCAACTTAGTTTATTTGTTCTTCCCCCCTGTTATGGACTAAATGTTTGTGTCACTGCAAAATTCATATGGTGAAGTCCTAATGCCAACGTAATGGTTAGGAGGTGGGGCCTTTAGGAATTAATTATTCATAAAGTTGGAGCCCTCATGAATGGGATTAATACCCTAATAAGAAGAAATATGAGTTTGCTGTCTCTGCTCTGCTTTCTGCCATATAAGGATACAAAGAGATGCCATCCATCTGCAATCCAGGAAGCTGGCCCTTAGCAGACAATTGATCTGCTGACACTTTGATCTTGGACTTCCCAGCCTCCTCAGCTGTGAGAAATAGCTGTTTATTGTTTAAGCCACCCCAACTATGGTAATTTGTTATAGCTGCCTGAACTAAGACATTCTCCCATTGGGAATACAGCTCAACTTTTATAACAAAAATTGGTTTTAAAATCCCTTCCTTACACCTTACATAAAAATTAACTCGAGATGGATTAAAGACTTAAATGTAAGACCTAAAACCATAACAACCCTAGAAGAAAACCTAGGCAATACCATTCAAGACATAGGCATGGGCAAAGACTTCATGACTAAAACACCAAAAGCAATGGCAGCAAAAGCCCAGATTGACAAATGGGATCTAATTAAACTAAAGAGCTTCTGCACAGCAAAAGAAACTATCATCAGAGTGCATAGGCAACCTACAGAATGGGAGAAAATTTTTACAATCTACCCATCTGACGAAGGGCTAATATCCAGAATCTACAAAGAACTCAAACAAATTTACAAGAACAAAACAAACAGCCCCATCAAAAAGTGGGTAAAGGATATGAACAGACACTTCTCAGAAGAAGACACTTATGTAGCCAACAGACATATGAAAAAATGCTCATAATCACTGGTCATTAGAGAAATGCAAATCAAAACCACAATGAGATACCATCTCACGCTAGTTAGAATGGTGATCATTAAAAAGTCAGGAAACAACAGATGTTGGAGAGGATGTGGAGAAATAGGAACACTTTTACACTGTTGGTAGGAGTGTAAATTAGTTCAACCACTGTGGAAGACAGTGTGGCGATTCCTCAAGGATCTAGAACTAGAAATACCATTTGACCCAGCAATCCCATTACTGCGTATATACCCAAAGGATTATAAATCATTCTGCTATAAAGACATATGCACATGTATGTTTATTGCAGCATTATTCACAATAGCAAAGACTTGGAACCAACCAAAATGTCCATCAGTGATAGACTGGATTAAGAAAATGTGGCACATATACACCATGGAATACTATGCAGCCATAAAAAAGGATTAGTTGATGTCCTTTGCAGGGACATGGATGAAGCTGGAAACCATCATTCTCAGCAAACTATCACAAGGACAAAAAACCAAACACTGCATGTTTTCACTCATAGGTGGGAGTTGAACAATGAGAACACATGGACACAGGGAGGGAAACATCACACACCGGGGCCTGTAGGGGGGTTGAGGGCTGCGAGAGGGATAACATTAGAGGAAATACCTAATGCAAATGATGGGTGCAGCAAACCAGCATGGCACATGTATACATATGTAACAAACCTGCACATTGTGCACATGTACCCTAGAACTTAAAGTATAATAATAAAAAAGTTTTTAAATTTTTCAACATTTAGATTTTCACAGTGACTGTGACAGAAACTAGAAGAAAAAAAGGATCTAGTTAAGTGTGTCTTAGTCCATTTATGAAATAAACCTTTATTCTTTTCTGATTTGAGGAATATGTAAATTCTACTGGCTATTTTTGAGACTTTGACATCAGGATTTCATTTCAATGCTATCATCTCTTGCTTTTTTGGTAACTTAGAGTACTTTAAATTAACATTGTTTTATCAGAGTAATACATGCACATAGCTTTAAAAGTCTAAATAATACATAATGGAAAACATGTCATTTTCTCACCCTTCCCCATACCTCAAAGGCAACAAGAATGCACAAAGATCTATTTCTTCTGATATTTAACTCCATATTTCTAAATAGTCTTCTAGTATTTCTATCTCTTGACTCATCACTTTTAGATATTGATTATTTGCCATAGTGTAGCCACTTTTAACCATGAGGGGAAAACACCTCAGTATTACCAAGGACTCAGGCTTCCTTCCACTTCCTGTTCCTCCATTCTTAGTGTATGAGTCTTAGCTCCATGCTCATGATTAGCTGCTTTTCCAGAAGCTCTGCTCAGCAGGTTCTACCCATATCTCATTGGCCAGAACTAAGTCACATGACTACATCTAGACACAATGGAGTTTGGAAAAATCAGCACTTCAGGTTTTCAGTCCCTACCCTAAAGAACTCGAAGGAAAAGAGGGTTGTGCATGGCTTTTAGGTATCAGTCCACTGTCTGCCACAGTAACCATCCATGAGTTTTTCAAATGCTCTCAGTAGATCTGTTAAAAGCCTATCATATTTTCTGAGTGTTTCAGTACATCAACGAATATATCAGAATGCTTTTCAGTATGTTCTGTGTCATGGCACATATTGAAAATAATATTTTTATGGTTCTTTGTGACAAATGAGAGGATGGAATTAAAGGCCTGAGGCCACTGGCCTGGGACTCTGATCATTCCAGGCCCCACCCAGACATTCCAAGGATGAGAGAACCAGTTTCCCCACATTTGTAACCCATTCACAGCTCTGGTCTTTTGGAACTTGGAGATTTCCTGTAACCTTTAATCCAGACTGTCTAGACCTACAACACAGTCATCATGCTGGGACTTTCCTGTGCTTCCCTCCTATGTTAGATTTCCTGCTTTCTGGATCTTCCTCTTTCTTGGTTTGATCCATTATTTTGCCAATGCAATATTCTAGTACTTTCCTTTAAAACGTGTTTATAAGAGGTAAATATTTTGAATCCTTGTATGTGTGAAAATGTCTCTATCATGCTCTCTGAATTTTGAAAGCAAGTCTTTTGGTTTTCAATGTTGCTTTTGAGGTGAGCAATGGTATTCTGATTCCCAGTGCTCTCTATTTAGCCTGCTTCTTCTTCTCGTGTGGATTTTAAGATCTTCTCTTTATCCCCAGAGAGTTATAAATGTCCATGATGATGTACATTGGTATGAGTCTCTTTTTATGTATTTTACAAAGAACTTGGTGAATCCTTTTAATATGGAACTGGTTCATATTGATTTATTTTTTTTTTTATGTTAGATCTTTGGTAATCTTCTTTCTGACAATTTTTTTCTGTTCTCTCTTTTTTTTTTTTTTTTTTTGAAGGAGGGACTCCTATTATTTGGGCATTAGGAAGACATCTTTAATTGTTATAGTTTCCTATATTTTCTACATTTTTTTTTTTTTGCCTTATTTTCTAGCAGAACTTCTCAACATTATCTTTCAAACTGCTATAGAATATTTTAATTTCTTGTTTTCTTATAGGTCATTTTTTATTAGTGCCTTGTTCTTGTTATAAGAATCCAATAGCTATTCTTAATTCTCTGAGAATATTTATTATAGATTTTCTCCAGTTTTCTTCCGCCATCTAATGCAGGTGTATCTTTAGATCAGATCATTAGATCTCTACATCATTAGTGATAATGTATCTCTAATTCCTGTGGGTTCTTTGTTTTCTATTTCTCTCTTTTGATTTATCTTATTCATGTTAGAGATTTGCCTCAAGCATGTAGGCTATCTAGGTAATTCTAGGCTATCTATTCATATTTAAATCCAAATCCCTAAAGAACTCTTTGGAAGATGTGTGTTCGTGGGTATGCATGAAGGAGGTGGGGCTGTCAATTGAGGGGTTTCACTGGAGCTGGAGTTTTTGTTTGAGGACTTCCAAATTTTAGTATTTGAGGCTCTTGTCTCTAGGGCTGTTTAGTTTCTTCAGAAAACAATCTCCCACTTGAAAGGTAAGTTACTGGCAGGTAACCACTCTAAGGACAGGAGGGGCAGATTTTCATTTCTTCTCATGTTTTCAGTTCCATTAATCACTCTCAACCTAGAGTGTTCTTAATTAAATTAGTTTTAGAAATAAGTCTTCTATCTCCTATGGAGGAGGAAATTGTGTACTCAGAAACTTCCAACTTTCTACTATTCTGCCTTCCAAGATAGCCAGTGCTTCTGAGTCTGGAGTCTTTCTGGAATTCTGTTGGGTGAATCCACCTACTTCGTAAGATTCTCTTTTGCAGATACGTAAGTTATAAGCTCCACTTTTTCACTTGTTTTATGTTTTTCAAATTCCTGGTGTCTCTCAACATTGTTGTCTTCTCTCCCATTCATTTTGTCTTTATAGGTTTATGCTTTCAAAAAATACCATTTCTGTTATTTTTGTGAAGTCTCAGAAGATTCTGTCATGTCTAACAGTCTGCCATATTTAACAAACAGTTCTCAATGAACTTTAAAGATTATTTAAATAAAAGCAAAGATATGTATGGGCTCCTTAGTTTCTTTTAAAGCCATGTAAACCTACTGAGCTCAGTGAAACATTTAGGAAGCATGGACAAAGCTAGGCACTGTGCCACTCACACACATCGAATCTTCCTCACGTCCTTCCCAATATTTTCACTGTTACATGCAACATAAAATGTTACTGTTTTACTCTTTCTGGAATTAGTTTAGATTAGTTTAAATTGTTGTAGCCTCCAAATAGATATTGATGCCATGAAGCCACAGGTGTTCAGAAGATAGGGATAATGAGATGGAAGATGGGCCAATGAAAAATCTTGACAGTTTCCCTTTAGAAATAAAGCTAGGAAAGAACACATGTCTTCCCTTCACCCCATAGAAAGTTTTCCCATGAAAAATTCTCAAATTTTTCCATTCAGGATGTTGTAGTAACTGCTGCTATGAGGAAAGACTGCATAATTTTTATTTCTTTAAAAGGGGGAACTGTAAAAAGTTCATAACATTAATCAGTGTTGTATGTATCTCAACAGGGTGTCAAGATACATCTTGGTGTTGAATGAAGTTGTTCCATATGGGCTCATTTCTCAGGTAAATATCAGAATAAGTTTATGTGGGCAGTATACTGATATATCCTCAAACACCTGTCACCATTAATATATAATACCCTTTTTGTGTTTGAAGAAGACATTCGATATCTTCCATATTTGGGAGATAATCTGAAATGCTGCACCCTGTTTATTAGGAAGGTAGTTTCTTTCCAACATGAATTGAACAGTTACTAAAAAGACATTTGCATTACTTTGCTTTCTGTAGTTCACTAGGTACATAAAGAAGTAAGTTCACTAGGTACATAAAAAAGGCTGAAGGTAATAATGGAAAATTTTTTTATCTAGCTATCTGGAAAAATGCTTTCTTATGTAACTATGAACATTGTTCCTGATCTTTGGTTTGTATGTTTGGTTTAAATATTGAAAATATTAATGTTCTAATAATTACATATCTGGATGGATGTTCAAAGAGCTAAAGAATTTTTATCATGACATTATTTAGACAAAATATTAGCGACTAAGTAAATGTCCAGTTATAGATTATTCAAATAATATATTTTGGGACATCCATTCCATGAAATAATTTGTGGACATTTAACATGATAATGTAGAATGACAACTTTCAGATGGAATATGTTAACACTTGTTTATCTGGTTAGAGATGTAACCAACATGTTGGGAACTGTGTATAACTGGAAGCCTATTGTATCTATACTACAACCCGATTGTCCAAATCTGAGCACACCCTTTGAATTTTTTATATGTTGCTTTGAGGAAGAAAATAGAGAACTCTTATGAAAATAATGTTTAATGATATGGCAAGTAATACAGAATAACTAAAGACAGAAGAAAATGAGCTGGATTGCCAACTCATGGCAGCTACACAGAACTGTAAGCATTCATTTAAGAAGGTACATTAGGTATCAGACAAATGGTCAAAGAAGCTTACCACTAGTACAAATATTAAAGAACATAAACTGTTTGAAAGCAGAGAATTGTCTAACTTGCAGCGCAGTTATTTTTCCATATATACCTTTGTGAGGCTATATTTTCTCAAGTGTTATTTCAGTTGTTGGCCTTGGAATTTGTTTCCCTTTTCTTCCTTTGTTACTTTAAAGGAATTAAGGTCAGCTGATGTATTTTTACTCTCCACATTTGAATTTGAGGCAGAACAATTCCCATGGAGGATTCTTGTGGAACTTCATTTTAGTTATGTTTTAATAAAGTCTTATTTGTATTGACTTCTGGGGCAGCATGGCATTCCCTAACTGATAAACTACTTGGGTTTACTTTTTTATGGAGGGATTTTAATTTAATATGATAGATTCGACTGTTGTTTTTCAGGTTTTATATGCATGCCTGGAAGCCTTTTAATAACTTGCAATAACAAACAAAATGAATGTGACTTTTAGGGTAGACACTTTTGTAATTGATATTTTTATCAACTCAGGATGTTTATTTGTTTTGTCAAAAAATGAAGTGCATTTTTTTCATCCTTGGGGAATAAAAAGTAATGGAATTGTAATTTACTAAAAAGTTGTGAGAAAGATTCCATAGTTGCAATGAAAAAAATTCATACAGATATATTTCTTGCTCTCTAGACATAAGATTCTTGCATAACTCACAAAAAGTACAAGATTTTTTTCCCTTATCTTAATAAATTCATTTGCCTTCCTGTATAAAGTAGTTAGGGATCAAGAAGTAATAGAATATTTTAAAAATATATTAACAGGAAGTAATTAAAGTTCGCATGGACTAAAATACTGCATAGGAAATTACATTATTTTAATTTAAAAAAATATACAGTTTTTAGTACTGAAGAATGGGATTTTGGACACAGAAGTGATTTTGATAAGTAACAGAATTCTGCCGAAGGCCACATAAGAGGCAAAAACAAGGAACATAAAAATAGAGAATCTACAAATTAGCATGTTATAATTACTCTCTTGCATAGCATTTAAGGACATCTTTGAAAAGATCCAATGTCCTCAGCAAATGTATCTAACTAGCATATACTATAACTGAAATTGACATGATTCCTAAAGAGAAGCATCGGGACAACTCTTCTATAGTGATGAGGCATTACTGAACAATGTTTTTAGTTGATAAACAGTAATAGAAATTTGGGATTAAAATGGCCTTTTCAAAGGAGTAGGTCACTCCGTTGAAAATAATAGGTACCTAAGTTTATCTCTCATTTCTTGATATTGAGCCTGTTTGTGCATTATTCAACTTGACACTTCAAGGATCCTTAATTTTTATGAAGATGTTAGCATGCTGGTAACATTTTTGAAATACCTATTTTTTTTAAAGCCTGTATCTTACTTTTCCCCAAGACCGAATATACGTTGTCATGATAGTTACAAGGCTGATGAAATACTGAGTTATGGGAGCAGTGGTTGCAGCAGGGGTTGCATGGTGAAGAGGAGGCGAAGGAATATGAGGATTTCAACAAGTTGCTACAGTGAATAGTGCTTTGTCTCAGCCCTCCAGAAACAAAAGTGATAGCTGGTATTTATTAAGATCTGCTGATAACTTGGAGAAATAAAATTCCTGAGTTTCAGTTTATTTGTAACTTATGGCTCAGTGATTTTATTTCTGCAAGTTCTTTCTATATATGCATATAGGCTTACCTGTTTTATTGTGCTTTGTTTTGTTGTGCTCCACAGATATGGCATTTTGTTTTTTTCTAATGACTTGAAGGTTTGTGGCAACCTTGCATCAAGTAACTTTATTGACACCATTTTTCCAACAGCATGTGCTCACTTCGTATCTCTGTACCACATGTTGATAATTGGCGATATTCAAAACTTTTCCATTATTATCATAATATGTATTAAAGTGATCTATGACCAGTGGCCTTTGCTGTTTGTATTGGGCCATTCTTCCATTGCTATAAAAAATTCCTGAGACTGGATAATTTATAAAGAAAAGTGGTTTAGTTGGCTCATGGTGCTGCAGACTTTACAGGAAGCATGATGCTAGCATCTGCTTGGCTTCTGGTGAAGCCTCATGGAGTTGTCAATCATAGCAGAAGCGAAGGGGGAACAGGCACATCACGTGAAAAAGGCAGGAGTGAGGTGAGGGAGAGATGCTATACACTTAAATGACCAGATCTTGTGTGAACTCAGAATGAGAGCTCACTTATCACCAATGGGATGGCCCAACGAATTCATGAGGGATCCACCCCCATGATCCAAACACCTCCCACCAGCCTCACCTCCAACAATGGGGATTACAATTCAACATGAGATCTGGGTTGGGACAAATATCCAAACTATATCAATGTTACTATTGTAATTGTTTTGCAGTGGCATCAACTGCGCCCACAGAAGATGGTGAACTTATTTGATAAATGTTATGTGTGTTTTCTGGCTGCTGCACCAATCAACTGTTCCCCTGTCTTTCTCCCTCCCCTTGGGCCTCCCTCTTTCCTCAGGTAAAAAAATAAAAATAAAAATAAAAATGAAATAGGCCCATTAATAACCTTACAATTGTGCCTTAGTGTACAAGTGAAAGGAAGAGCTGCACATCCCTCACTTTAAATCAAAAGCTAGAAATGATTAAACTTAGTGAGGGAGCATATCAAAAGCCAAGATAGGCCAAAAGCCAGGCCTCTTGCATCAGGCAGCCAGGTTGTGAATGCAAAGGAAACATTTTTTTAAAAATTAAAAGTGCTACTCTAGTGAACACATGAATGATAAGAAAGTGAAATCATCTTATTGCTGACATGGAAAAGGTTTTACAGTCAGGTGGAAGATCAAACCACCACCAACATTCCCTTAAACCAAATCTTTATCCAGAGCAAGACCCTAACTGTCTTCAATTCAGTGAAGGCTGAGAGAGGTGAGGAAGTGTCAAAAGAAAAGTTTGAAGGTAGGAGAACTTGGTTCATGAGGTTTAAGGAAAGAAGCTGTTTCTACAGCATAAAAGTGCAAAGTGAAGCAGAAAGTACTAATGAAGAAGCTGCAGTGAGTTATTCAAAGGATCAAGCTAAGATCATTGAAGAAGGTGGCTACACTAAGCAGCAAATTTTCAAAGCAGATGAAACAGCCTTCTGTTGAAAGAAGATGCCATTTAGGAAATACATAGTTAGAGAGGTGAAGTCAATGTCTTACTCCAAAGCTTCAAAGGACAGGTTGATTCTTTTTTTATGGCTAATACAGCTGATGAGTTTAAATTGAAGCCTATATTCATTTACCATTCCAAAAATCCTAGGGCCCTTAAGAATTACGCTAAATCTCCTGTGCTTGTGCTCTATAAATGGAATAATAAAGCTTGAATCATGGGATATCTGTTCATTGCATGGTTTACTGAATATTTTAAACCCACTGTTGAGACCTACTGCTCAGAAAAAAAAGATTATTTTCAAACTATTACTGCTGCTTGACAATGTACCTGGTCATCCAAGAGCTCTAATGGAGATGTACAAGGAGATTTATGTTGTTTTTATGCCTGCTAACACAACATCCATTCTGTAGCCCATGGAACAAGGAGTAGTTTCAACTTTTAAGTCTCATTATTTAAGAAATACATTTTGAAAGACTATAGCTGCCAAAGATAGTGATTCCTCTGATGGACCCGAGAAAAGTCACTTGAAATCCTTCTGGAAAGGATTCATCAATCTAGATGCCAATAAGAACATTTGTGACTTGCGGGAGGAGGTCAAAATATCAACAATGAACAGGAGTTTGGAAGAAATTGATTCCAACTCTTTGAGATGTTTAAGACTTCACTGGAGAAAGTAACTGCAGAAGTGATGGAAACAGCAAGAGAACTAGAATTAAAAGCAGAGCCTGAAGGTATGACTGAATTGCTGCAATCTCACGATAAAGCTTGAAAAGATGAGGAGTTGGTTCTTATGAATGAGCACAGAAAGTGGTTTCTTGATATGGAATCTATTCTTGGTGAAGGTGGTTTAAACACTTGAAATGACAACAAAGGATTTAGAATATTTGATAAATTTAGTTGAGAAGGCAGTGGCAGTGTTTGAGAGGATTAAGTTCAATTTTGAAAGAAGTTCTACTGTAGGTAAAATGC